GGAGATGGACAGCTATTTCTCTCTTCACGACTGAGAAAGAAGAGAGCTGCACCTGGGTTCGCGCTTGGATTCGCAACCACTCCCATACGGACTATCACCTCGCACTGTTCACGTGAACATCACTCGCGCGTGGAACTGCCTGTGACTCTCCACTCACTCGTATGTGGAACCTCCACCTAGAGCTCCTTGTCAGACTCGAGTTGGCGCATGGCTTTTATAGTCCGTTGACTCACGCGCGTAGACCTCGCCTTGACTCCCCTGACCTTGATTTTAGCACCCGCTCTGTGTACTCCCTTGACTCCTCTGACTCCCTTGACTCCTTGAGAACTCCATAGACCCTGACCTCTCCTGACTCCTTGGACCTCCCTAGACCTCCCCTGGGAACTCCCTTGGAACTTCCTGGACTCCCTTGACTCCCCTTGACTCCCTTGACCTCCCTTGACTTCCCTTGAACTCCCTGGACCTCCCTGAGGCTCCCTGGACTCCCTGACCTTCACCTTGATCGCCCCCCTTGACTCTCCTTGGACTCCCTTGACTCCATTGACTCCCTATGACTCCCTTGACTCTTGACTCCCGTGGACCTCCCTTGAACTCCCTGAAAACTCCCTGGACTCCCTGAACCTAACCTAGGACCTACACACCTTATCAGCCACATCCACGTATAAAGCACACTCAACCACTGTAGCTAATTGCCTAAACAGTAAACCATTCACGACCTCACTCCACCTATAATGGAACTCCGAGTGACTCCCCTGACCTCCCTAGACTCCCTTGACTCCCTGACCGCCCTGGACTACGCCAATCCTCAAGCATGCTGCCATCCCTACACTTATTGAAAGCCCACTCTTTGAGATCGCTACCACTCGCACTTCCGGGCGGCACTGTCGACTGCGGCACGCACTAACGCCTAAGACTACCCTGCAGCCCTCACTCTGTCGCCGAGTTCTCACCTTATATAGCGCACTATACACTTGAACTCGCCATTGGACTACACGCTAGAGCGTCTTATTCAGTTGTAGCTAGCTCTTACTTCCGCCTTGAGATCTCTTGCCCAACCTCTGCGCCTTGACACAAGAGCTCTTGGAAAACGGCGGCGACTACTAGTGAAACTTGCGCACTTAGACTGCCACCGATAACCACCTCGGCGGCCATTGCCGGTTGCCACTTGCGTATTTCGCGGAGTACCCTGGGACTCCCTTGACTCCCTTCCGAGCTACAGTCTATTCGAGCTCCCTATGCGCACCTCGCGCCCTGGAACCTCCATCTTACGATCGTCCCTTGGTAACAATCAGCCCAACTGGACTCCCTGGACTCCGCCCTCGGTGACTCCCGCGGATCATTTGCATACCTTGTACTGGCCTGCTTTTATCTCTCTCCCGCGTGCACCTTACCCTTCGTGACTTCCGCAAGTCGGAGCAGGCAGTTTTCAGAGAAACCCTAATGTTATACCCTCCTTCCAAATGACTTTCCAACTTGCATGCATAACTGGCTACCAGATCATCCAAAGTTTGTTCTTCCAGGATCTACCCATCGAGACTCAGTTATGAGTCAGTCTAGACGCATCTACGTGCCGCTGAGATCAGAGCGCCGTAGACCCCCTTAACTGTCCGACTCGTGAGACGCTCTCGCCTGGGACTCTCGCGTGGACACTGTCGGAGAAGTCCCCACGCTTGATCTCCCTTGATTGCTCTGCGTGGAACATATGTGACGCGTCTCGACGGTCCTATAAATCTCACCCCTGTGTGAAGCTCCTTGACTCCCTGTAGACATACCTGACTCCACGTTAGTACCTTCACTCCTTCTCTGCACTCATCTCCTACACCTGGCGCTTTCAGAACTACCCATGTACCTTCACCGTTCTGACCTTTCTCCATCTCCTCGCACTCGCTTACGACTCCCTTCACAGGTAGTGGTTGCGCTCTTTTATGACTTCCCTAGTGAGCGATCCCACTTGTATGGATCGCACCTGAACACATACTTGACCCTAACCTGGACTTTTGGTCTTCAGTTGTATCTCTTTCGCCTGTCTTGTGAATCTCTCTGATCTTCGTCCTCTCTCGAGTCGCGGCTCTTCGTGACTAATCTTCCCGAGGGTATTCTCCCAAATGAATCTTTCTCCTATAGGTATCTCATCCCTTGGTCTCATATGTCACTAGCAATTGTGGTCAAGTTGCTGTGTGTCTTAACACAATGGTGCTCACCTAAGATAAATAGGTATACAAATCGTCATTATTAACTTAGCGAATAGACTAGCCATTCCATGTCTGTTAGAAGAAGTCAGTATTATCAGACGTTGACAAGAACTGTGCTACATACGTCCTTCTGTAAGAGCTAGAGCGATCGACGATATCGCGATGGAACAAATCGCAAGATTGCACCACTGTTCGTACCACGCGTGTGAATGAATTATATTGTCACCCATAGAGAGCCAGCGGTATGCTCACGATTAGCTATTTACGCTGGACAAGTTCGTCCAGCATGAAACGTGCTCGAACACTAGGAGTGCAGGATCATACCATCGCAATAGGCAGTGTCCAAAACAATCTCCCTCCTCGAGCAACATTCTCTGCTAAAATGTCTTCGCAGCTACCAAGGGACAAACAACTCTGCATGCAGTGCTGACAAGAGCTCTCCGTCATCGCCCGGCACACCAATCGCGAGCGTCAACATGAGTGTCCAACAGACCAACACACGAGACGGAGAGGTATTTAATGGAGCCCAGCCAGGCAGAGGATAATTGAGCATTGCAATGCTGTCTTCCTATTCCGAGTGGTATGCCTGATCTTCGGTAAACATAGGGAACACGCTAATAATGCTAATCATTACCACTCTTACTCATACAAGTAGCATGCAGATTTTCATTAGTTTGGTGCAGGCCTAACTATGTAATATCAGAACTTATGATCGTGGTTATTGATATTCCGTACATTATTTTGTAGCCCACAGGCTAACATGAGTCACATAGCTCTGTGTACGAAAGGACCGTCAATACGACTGTGATTTCATAGCTGACCGAGGCTATGTTTGTCTTATTTTGTGAGTATGACATAATAGTGGCATCCCTCCTACGGTCTGCGCACATTAATCTTCCCAACCAAAGGTGACTATTGTGGTTACAACCACCTCATAGTGCACTCATTGACAAGTTGGCGAGTTGCTCTTTGCAAAAGTAAAGAGAAACACACTTGTGCTGCCTTACGGGCAAGGAGCAACACTTTGGATATACTATACCACTATTGATCGGAGAACTGAAGTGCACGAACTAGCTGGCTACCCTACTTTTGCGGGCTGAGTAACACAAAGTGAACTAAGTATAATAAAGAAGCATGCCACTGCCTGATATCTTGTTTAGTGTCTGTTAAAAAAGACTAGCTGTAAGTGGCACACGCGGGAGCCGCAGTCAATACTGTTTTACCATCCGTATTTGGACTGGCTGGAATCTATGAATAACTCCTCCTGGTATCACACGAGCCTCTCTCTCTTTCTCTCTCTCCCTCACCATTAACTTGATGCTGCATATGTGCAACGCCGTTATGTGAGAGACCACATACGTTTCTAGATACAAACTTGCATATAATTATATACACTTTGATGCTGGCTACCTAGTTATTTGAGTCCCACATAATACATAGCAAGTAAACTTTAACTAGCTGTTATATTAGTATGTGTCCACAACTCAGCAGCCACCGAGCCTGCAGACTTCCTCTCCAAGGTTCCTCAGGTACCAGTCTCACACTCTTCTTCATCGAGACTGGAGATAGAAGTGGGGCAGGCCGGACTCACCCTCACCAGCAGACCGTCTAGAACGAGGGACGGACTCGTGGACACCCAACTCTGAATAATGCCCACCAGGTGGGTGGAGTTTGTGGCGGGGAAAGGGTTAACGAGGGTGGAGCGGTAGGTGGTTTTGGTGGGGTTACTGTGGCATAGAAACAGTCCTGGTCTCAGGAATGACGGGGTTAATTTGTAGCAGTCACTGCAAGCTTCACGAATTATCTGAATCAAGTAAGCCTGGAGCTCTTTCTCAATACGAGCAATTTTCTTCAACTGCAAAAAATAACATTGCGCATTAGTGACAAAACAAATGATACAGCTTACTCCCCAGTCCAGACAGTATTGAAAAGGTCCAAACTGAATTTGAAAAGACGTTTTATCTGTGAAACACAAGAGTTGAAAATGTGAAATGTGTGTGGTAAGGTGCGTGGTTGCATACCAAAAGCAAAGGGTACATTGGTTGGAGGTCCTTGGACAAGCGTGACATCATTTCCTATGATGTAATACAAAGTGAAGTTATGCACATAATATGCATTGGTAAGGGTAATGTCATCGTCCAAGACCACGACATCGGAGGCGGTTCCTGGTGGGTATACCCTGTCGTATTGGCTAATGATGACGCCATTGGTGGAGAGGGAGACGGTGTAGTGGATGGAGGTGGGGAGGTGGACACTGCCACTCCAGGAGATCCTCACTCCTGTGGCATTCACTGGGAGGAAACTGACCTCCGCTGGCCTCTCTATGGGGATGACAATATAATTCATCACACCTGACGAGGAAAGCTATCCGTGCAAGCGCCTACAGAAGATGTAGACATTTTTCCCTTCAGACACTCACAATATTATCTATATCGCATAAAAAGTTTGTTGTGGCAGAAAACACAGAACACATGAGAATATGAAGACAATGACAGAAAATCTAAAGGGGAAATTAAAGAGAGCGACGGAAAAAAGTAAAGACAGCAAAAAGAAGACCAAAGGTAGGTATTTCTCACCATCATCATCAGTAATAACCACCACTCCAGTGGCGGAGGTGAAGGAGACATGAGATCTGGTGGACCGTGTGAGACTGAGAGAGAAGGTCTCCTCCGGTTCACTGACCAGGTCATTGGCCAGACTCACATTCACACAACGCTGGCTTTCACAGGCAGCAAACGTCAGCACTTGGTCCACTGCCACATAGTCTGCTGGACTCTCTGTATAGAACAAACTTTGGATGATCTGGTAGCCAGTATGCATGCAAGTGGAAAGTCATTGGAAGGGGTATAATATAGGGTTTTCTCTGAAACTGCTCCGTTGCAAAGCTAGAGCGAGAAAAAGCCAATATGCAAATACGCAACGGACGGGATGGCTTACCACAGTCCGATCGATCCGCGGGCTCTGCGTACTTCGGAGGTACCAGAAGATGCAACGCAGGGCGTGTATCGCCTCTCGCATGTAGTTAGCCCGCGTCAGACTCTGCGCGAGCTGGCAAGAGACCACGAGTAACAGCTAAAACTAAACCCTTGCCATCAATTAGTAGTACGGCGCATGCGTTTACTTACGCGTGCGCGTCACAGTGCGCCCAGGGTTTGCACTTCAGTGCTTTCATTTAGACATGCAGTTGGGATGCTCCTACATACTGAGTGAGAGTTTACTGTGCCATAGTACAGTGGTTTGAGGTTTGCCTTGTGTTGTGTTGTGTTGAAGCCCTACCAGCTGAGCTGCCCTGGTAGCTCAGTTGGTAGAGCGCTCCCCTAGACTGCAGAGTGTCGTGGGTTCGAATCCCACCCAGGGCAGCTCTCTTCTTTTCTTTGAGAAGAAAGAGCTGTCCTTGGTGTAGTTGACTAGTATGCCTTGCCTTGCCTTTCTACCTTGTTACCAAGTTGTTGAGACATGCACACCCCGGTGGCTTATAGGGTCCTTTATGTATTCGTAGTTACCTGCAGTTTGATCGCTAGTGGAGAGAGTGACATGGAAAGATTCGGTGCTGGGACACAAAGAAGTGGTACCAACTGCATTGATGCACACCTCAACCACTTCATCTGACTCTCCTATAGTGTAGGATGTCTCGGCCAGCCCCACTACTATATATAGGGGAAAGAGTATGACAGTTACTACTGTTTGTTACTGGATACATATTGTTGTGGACATTATGATAGTTGCCTAGGTTCTGGTAATTACATCACCACTATCACTGAAATTCTTTGCTACACATATTTGACATACAAATGATCATGTAGCTATGTGAA